ACAGGACATTTTTATTGTTTTGTTCAGTTTAAACAGGATAAAGTGTCCGAACACAGAGAAAAAAATCCTGCTGAAGCGACTGATCTCCACACTGTTATAAAGATGGCGTTTATTAAAGAGGAGAGTGAAGATGTGAAGATTGAAGAAACATTCACAGTCAAACAGGAAGATCTGCAGGAACAAACAGGTTAGTTTTCATTCTCAAACACCAACTCAGTCATATAGAGGTAAAGTTGGTTTTATATTCGCACATTCATTCATTTAGAAGTCTCTTTATTGTTTACCATGTTAATCAAGCTCTTATGGACCGTTTCCACTGAGTGGTTCGGTTTGGTACGCTTTTATGGCGGTTTCACTGTCAAAAGGCGTACCGAACCAAACCGTACCGTACCACTTTTTTGGAACCCTTTCGAAAGGGTCCCAAACACTAAGGCCGTACTCACACTAGGTACAGTTGCCTCGAACCGGGCCAAAGCACGCTTGTCCCCCCTCCCGTTTGCCCCGACGGCCCACACTCACACCACAAACGGGCCTGGGCACGCTTACGTCATCACTGCTGCGCTGTTCAGTGAGAAGCGCTCTCTCAGCAGCACAGTGGAGATTTCTCTAGTTATATCGTTTCAGTCGTTTGATATGCATTGACATGCAGTCAAATATTTCGCCAAACAGTCCTTAGGGATGCTGTGACACGCAGTCAGATATTTCGCCGAACAGATCCGCCACTTTAGGCGCTCATAAACAATCATAAAGCTCTCGTGCTGCAGAAATGAGGAGGTCTGCTGAAGCCGCGCAGCTGTCGTGCAGTGAGGAGTTCTCGTCTTTAATAAACTACGGCAGTTTGCGTTCACTGAACAGTAAGAATGATTAATAAATCCATATGAAACAGCCCCTTAAAAGTCACATCTCCCTTTCAGTTTTGGGGTTTTGCACGTTTTGCCCTCACACACAAGCGTACCGTGCCAAAGCCCAAGTGATCCGCGCTCAGGCCCACCTCTTCCAACCGGGCCAGGGCCGGCCAAGTGAACCGTGCTTGCCGCATAGTTTTTTACGAGCTAGTCTGAAGCCCGAGTGGTTTCGCTTTCTTCCTTGTGCTCGCCGCGCGTCTCTATCTGAAATAACAAACTTATTGAGCTGATAATAATATATGCGCTTGATTATTGTCAAGCTTTGGAAACCCGATCCTGTGAGAAGCTGACAAACGCGGGACACATTCTGTGACACAATCAGAAAGAAAAGGACAAACGCGGGAGTGGAGCGCGGAAAAAAGGCGAAGTCAAGGAGTTATTTCTTCAGCAAACCAAGTTATTTCTTCAGCAAACGTGAACAAACTGCCTTGTCTTAATCTTTATTATCACCTTTTGGACTAATATGAACTGGGAATGAAGGAATGACTCTCTAACAGAGGCTACATGTGCTGCTGAGGATTACAGACACAGATGAGAGGTTTGCTATGACTGTAGGCTATACTTTGTGCTGTTTTGAACCTAATTAATGACGAAATGTCTGCTTTGTGTAGTTCTTCTGTAGTTGGTAACATATCGGAGACTGTAAGGGTCTGTATGTGTTCTTATATCTTCATTTATTTATTTACTTTATATAATTACAGACGTTACAGTAGGCTATTTCGCACTGTCATTGATCTGCAGTTATAATCAACTAATGTTCATAGAAAAGTTAGTAATAAACATTTATACACAAGTATTTATGTGTAAAGCATCTGTTTTATGAGAAGTGCTTTTCATATGATATGTGAACGACCTGTGCAGCTTTATTGTAGACATTTTCTTGAGCGAAAATGACGTCGACTGAAACTTTGTCATACACCACGCCCACTAAAAGGGTACCCTTAGTAGTGGAAACGCAAGCCTGATAAAGGTGACCCGTACCCGAATTATCTTTCTCATGACTGACTCCACTCTGATTGCCAGCACTTTAGCCATGATTTTATACAGCAGAGTAAGCTGATCGGACGATAAGATTCGCATTTAAGTGGATCCTTAACCTTTTGAAGAAGTACTGTAATAACAGCCAATGTCATGAAGGGGGGAGTGATTCCGAAACAAGAGCTTTAGTGAATACCTTGCACAACAGGGGTGTTAACTTGGCAGAAAACTTCTTATAAAACTCAGCCGGGAAGCCATCAGGGCCTGGTGCTTTTCTGATTTTTTAAAAAATTTTTTATTGTATTTTCAAATTCAGAAGGTGTTAAAATTCCTTCTTTTGTCAACTGATCTGAATCACAGAGGGATGGTAATTCTAAATAATTAAAAAAGCTCTCAATATGTTCAATTTAGTTTACCTCAGAGCTTTAAAGAGTTTTATAGAAGTTTTTTAATTGATCACTAATACCCTGTTTATCAGTAATAATACTGCCATCATCCTTACTAACTGCTACTATAACGCCAGCTGCTGAGGATTGTTTCAGTTGGTAACACAATAACCTGCCAGCTCATTCACCATGTTCATAATGAATCTGGCGTGATCTTATGTGGAAATTCTCAAGGAGTCATTCCGCTTGCAGAATAAGTATTTTCTTATGAAGCCCTTCGGAAGATGATGTTGAGTGTAGCTGATCAATTGTATTATTTTTTTAGATGCCATTGTCCATCGCCGATGGCCGACAAACTTCACGATGCTGAGCCGGCATCACGATCCATCGCCCTGTCCCACATTTATATTGATATATAACTTATTATTTGCATGTCATCTTCATAGCAATAACTGTCTTTTCATGAGCTGTGTTAAATGTTACATATAGCTGCCGCTTGCACGGCTGACAGCATCGTGAGGATTAAATGAAGGATTATACAATACCTCTCGCGCTTAAATGTGTAGATTCAGTGCCAAACACTGTTACCTGCAGACTTGAAGCCACTGGAAGTCTTTTATCCACTCTTGGAAAAGTTTAAATGGTGGATTAACATTCAGAACATGATCACTAATAAGATGCGCCGTTATTAATAACTTTAGGTAAATCTGTCTGTTATTTTCATTTTCTCATCTTTAGCGCTTCACATTTTCGCAGTTGTAGCTCCTATCATCTGAAGGCAGAAGGCATTGACTGAGTGATTGACAGCTGATATTAACCAATGATTTGCATTCAGTTGTAGAGCAGTGAGCCAATAAGAAGAGCACAAAGGCGGGGCAAGCATTGCAGGCTTTTTTACTTTAAGATCACATAACAACTGTTTTAATCTGTTCCTGGTGCTGCGTTTGGCGTTTTTAGGTGCAAAGATGCATTCTGCATAAATGTCTCCTAAATCTGCGCACGCGGTGAGGATTTTACAGTGAAAACAATGAAAATGTATGCACTACAGTGAACTCCAGCCGAACTCTCCTCCACCAGCTGTGGGAAAAGCCCTTGTAACGACACAGATCACTGTGCCATGCCCGTAGCCAGGGGGTTTTGGGTTGTTCGAACGAACCACCCCCCATGGCCAAAAGGTCCAGAATTTGTCCTTTTAATTGTTTTATGTAATTTAATTTAATATTATATAATACATATTATATATATTTATATTCTAAATATATATTGTAATAAAGTGTAATTTTATATAACTTTGGCCAGTAATTGGAATCCCATTTAGCCTCAAAGCCACAATAAAGTGACACGAGTCTTGTGACATAACCCACTGAGTGGTAACACTTGAATCTTTGATGCGACATCCTCCTTTGATACCTTACGCTTTTGCTCTCTTCTCTTGATCTGTCTTACAGATTAATTCTTGTCATCTGGTTTTATTCGCAGTCACAGAAGCTCTCGTTTCCTTTTTTTCCTGGTTATACCACATCATTCCCCTTCATGTTTGTCAATATGTTGTCGATCATTTCTGTGTATATTATTTTGTTACTCACCCTGTATGTTTCTAAGACCGCTATTGAGTAAGTGTCTGGTTGTTTTTTCCTACGGCACTTCCTCAGCGCTCACCCGACCGGGTGTTTACTTTGACTTTTGCTTTTTCCAAGACTCGCTTCTCAATAAAGACTTGCATTTGAGCTCACTCTTTTTTTAGTAACTCGTGACACAAGTATTTTCTTTCTCATTTGTGTTTAAAGGTCTTTAGATTTTGGCATGATGTCTAGCTTTGAGGCTCTTTTGGTCAACTTCACTTTGTCAGACAGGTCCTATTTAGGTGATTTCTTGATTGCGAACATGTGTGGTTGTAATCAGGTCTGGGTGTGGCTAGAGAACTTGAAGCCGGTGTGATAAATTAAAGTTTTTCTAATGGGATTTTTTTTTTTTCACACAAGTCTGTGTAGTTCAGTATTTTGTCTTCCTTTAATTAATAAAAACAGTTGAGTCTGAAACAGGTAAGTGTTAGATTTCTGCATTGCATTTGTTACATACAGATTACTTACCTCTAGAACATTTGTCATTTAAAGGTGCAGATTTAAAGCTTTATGCAGATATTATACATGTGTCATATATGTCTGAGGCAAATATTCTCAGATGTTCAGCTGTTTTTTCTAACAGGTTTACCAGTCAGGCACAGAATGAAAAAGCATTCCCTATCTGCTTTACAAGTTTTACAAAAACAAATTGTTTTGTTGTGATTACGAATATATACAAATAAAAACTGGCCATTTACAGCTTTCAAATTTATGTCTCATCAATTTGACCAAAAATGATCTGGGATCAATCAAAAAAGAATCCACTTAAATGTGTACGTGTGTAATGGACACCAGGAGGTTAATATGACAGGATCAATCTAAATATGATCTTTACATTTAATGTGCATCAACATTAAGATTTATGTAGCCAATGTTTTTAGTGCCTTTTCACTGAGTTTTAATGATTTACTAAAAAGTAAACTTATTTTCATTTCAGACCTAATTAAAGACTACGAGGAGAGTAAAGAGGAGGAACATCATGTCAAAATTGAGGACAAAACTCATTTAGAGACTGATGGTATTGTAAAAGTGAGAGACAAGAGTTGTTTTACCTGCACTCATTGTGGAAAGAGTTTGGCAAACAAAAGCAAACTAAAGACTCACATGAGGATCCACACTGGAGAGAAACCATTCGCATGCACTCAGTGTGGGAAGAGTTTCAGCCACTCATCATACCTTAATCTACACATGAGGATTCACACTGGAGAGAAACCATTAACATGCCCTCAGTGTGGGAAGAGTTTTAGCAAATCATCGTCGCTTTATAGACACATGAGGATCCACACCGGAGAAAAACCATTCACTTGCACTAAGTGTGGGAAGAGTTTCTGCGATTCATCATACGTTAAAAAACACCTGAGGATCCACACCGGAGAAAAACCGTTCACTTGCACTCAGTGTGGGAAGAGTTTCAGCCACTCATCATCCCTTAATCTACACATGAGGATCCACACTGAAGAGAAACCATGCACATGCACTCAGTGTGGGAAGAGTTTTAGCCAATTATCATCCCTTAAAAACCACAAGAAAATTCACACTGGTGTGAGAGAGCATATGTGCTTGGAGTGTGAGAAGACTTTTATTACAGCTGTAGAATTGAAACGGCACCAGAGGATTCACACTGGAGAAAAACCGTACAAGTGTTCACACTGCAGTAAGAGGTTTACTCACTCAGGAACCCTGAAAAGACATCAAAGGATTCACACTGGAGATAAACTGTAGATAGGATCAGTGTGTACTACAGTTGGGTACCGAAACCGTACCTTGGTAACCGGTATGTACCAGTATTAAATCAGCGTATGAATTTTGGTGCTTAATAGGGCTGTGCAATTAATCGAAAATCCGATTTCGATTATGGCTTCTAACGATTATGAAAAACCATTAATCGAGATAAACATTTATTCCATTATTTACCGCCCCCTGTCCAGTTGTCCTCACTTGTTGCTCTTTAAAGCGCGAAAGACCGCATGCTTTTGTGTGTGCGGCCTGCGGCGCGCAGACAGTCAGAAGCATGCGGTCTGCACTTGGTCTCATTCGCACATTGTGACGAGCAGAGAGTGCACACATCTATAGTCATTAACGTGAGCGCTTTAATGTTCAAATAAGTGTCAAAACGCGGTGTTTAGTGATTATTCATATTAACCCTCATTTTGTAATAAACAAACGAGATGAGGAGGATCAAAAGACACGCGAAAGCGAAATCATTAAAGTGACAGAGCACAGCTGCCGCCTGTTTTATCATGATTAATAAAACGAGAAAATCCCTCTTTGCTTTTGACTGAAGACTTTTGTAGCTAAAGTGTTTTTCTCATGGTGAAGATGCTAAAAGCACAGTTTGTTTCATATTTTTTATTTTATTGTATTTATTTCTCTTTCCTTTGCAGGGAGGAAAACAATATATGCAGTTGAAGTCAGAATTATTAGCCCTCCTGAATTTTAGCAACCCTTTTCCTTCCAATTTCTGTTTAATGAAAAGAAGTTTTCTGAACATAATAGTTTTAATAATTCATTTCTAATAACCAATTAATTTTATCTTTGCTATGATGACAGCTCATAATATTTTAGTAGATATTTTTTTTAAATACAAACATTCAAATTCAAAGTGTGATTCAAAAGCTTAATTAAGGTAATTAGGCAAGTCATTATATAACAGTACTTTCTTCTGCAGACAATCAAAAATATATATTGCCTAAAGGGGCTAATAATAATGACCTTAAAAGAGGTTTCAAAATATTTAAATTTGCTTTTGTTCCTGCCAAAACAAAACAAATAAGCCTTTCTCCAGAAGAAAAATATTAGAGGAAATACTGTTATTCCTTGCTCTGTTAAACATAATTTAGGAAATATTTATTTAAAAAATTCTCAGGAGTACTATAATCATTTGGAATAATCGTGATTACAATTATGACCAAAATAATCGTGATTATTATTTTTCCCAAAATCGAGCAGCCCTAGTGCTTAGTTTCGGTGCTGCGGCATGGACGTGAGTGGTGCATGAAAAAAGGCAAATATAGGCGTTGTCAAAGCATCACTAAACATTTAATTTTTAAACACCTTTGAGGAATACGGACAGGCAATATCAGGCAATTGTTATTGTCGCTAGGGAACAGATGCACGCAACGCGCAGAGAACAGCGCATTCAGCCTGGAGACAGTGGTTTTCGGTGAGCGAGAGCGACACTCTTCAGATCAACACGTGATCACGTTCATCCAATTTGCTTAAACTAAGCATTCTAAAGCGTTTTTTACAAGCAAGAATTCTTACACAGCAACTGTCTTTACAAAAGTGCGTGTAAGGGGGAAACATGTCAAACTTAATGACACATGTAGAACAGATGTAACACATTGATCAAATGTAGTTTTCAGTCACGCTTATGTAAGTCATATTCAACTTGTTTAGTTTTGACTTCATTCATTTTTAATTTTCGTCTTGAACACATGATTTATTTACAACACATTTTTAAACATAATAGTTTAACTTACTCGTTTCTAATATCTAACGCTACTTTTTTATGCTGACAATCAGTGCAGAACATTTTACTAGTTATTTTGCAAGACAGTTGTATTCAACAAAGTCCCTTTAAGTATTTTATAGTGTTTTATTCAGATTAAAGTGTAATTTAAACTTTATCAGTTAACTACGAAAGTTAAAATAATTAGTCAAATTATTTTGTAACTGATTCGTTGTGTAAATCAAAAATATACAGTAAATATTTCTTAAGGAGGCTAATGATACTGACCTTATTTTTATTTTTTTATTTAAAACGGCTTTTATTTATGAAGTAAACAATAAGAAATACAACTTATTATGACTCCAGAATAATTATGTTTTAGGAAACACTGTAAAAGTTTTCAGAAACATTATTTTAAATGAATGTTAGGACAAAATAAATTGACTTCAACTGTAGGCCTGTTAAAGTTGAGAGGTGCAACAATGTGCCTTGATGTACTTGAATGTTAGAAATGTGTTCTCCTACACCAGTACCACGTTACTTGTCGAATAAATGAACAAGGAAGATTATTTTGGGTTTAAGTTATTTAATTATCTAGTTTATGAAGACTGCAGAGTGATGCATGAAAACAAATGACTTTGAATAATGTTTTAAGTATTTTGTGATATATATATATATATATATATATATATATATATATATATATATATATATATATATATATATATATATATATACATATTTGTTAAAATGTGCTCCTAAAAGTACATGGCCCCTGCCTGCCCCCCACAGGTTAATAGTAAGCTAATGTAATTTCATAACGCAAATCTTAAATTCATGCTAACCAACAAATGATCAAAGGAAATGTATTAATGTAATACAATATGAATTGATATTTACTTTAAACTGTAATTATATTGTTCTATTGAAATGATTTAAAAAAAAATATTTTGTCAAATAAAATATTTTTGAAGAGTCGTCCACCATCATTTTGTGGCTAAAAAGTGTCAATTCAGGCACCGTTTTGGCACCGGTATCGTTTTAAAAGTATCAATTTAGCACCGGTATCAAAAAAAAAAAAACGATACCCAACCCTAGTGTCTACAGAGTTTCACTCATTTGGGGCAGCTTGAGAAACACATGGGATGGTTTCCAGTATGGTGTCAACACATGTAGCAGCATAGAAAGAGTGCTCCCATACACACTGGTATTAATCCTCCTTTTTACATCATATATGATAACCTAAACCATATTTAAATAACATGGAGTGCAATAGGCACAGCAAGGAAGGGCTTTTTAGAGAAGGAAGGCTTTTCTCTCACATTAAGAATTTATTTAATTATAATAATTATTAAGACTTTAAGGTTTGGATATCTTTTTCATAATGTTTTTTATGTTGTTCAAGATATTCATGTTTGTGTTTTTCATGTTCCGGTCACTGTGATCTTCCCAATAACATCCGATTATAGTATATGCAAAAACAGAAATATAGAGTAATTACTTTGAATATTAATGGGTTACTAAATCCAATTAAAAGAAGCAAACTTGTGGCTAAAATTAAAAGAGAAAACCAACAGATAATCTTCTGGCAAGAGACATCTTTCTGATACAGAACATAAGAAATGAGATAAAATGGGAAGGTTTTCTTTTCCTCATATATAATGGTCGTAAATGAGGAGTAATGACATTAATCTCAGATAAAATCAACTTCCAATTAATTTCTAAGATTACTGATAAAGAAGGGCGATATAACCTAATTAAAGGAACTATTGACCAATACAAAGTTACATTAGTTAGTATGTATAGACCACCTGAAAAAGACAAAGCATTTCTCAAAAAAATAGTAAGTGTTATAGCCAAGAAGGCATCAGGTATTTTGATCTGTTGGGGAGAATGGAATGTACAAAAATTGGACTCATCGTCTAATAAGCAAATTAGTCAAGAAACTAGACAAATAAGATATTTGATGAAATAATTAGGCTCGATAGATGTATGGAGAGACATATTCCCTCTTAAAAAAGAATATACTTTCTTTTCTTCCACCCACATTTCTCATTCTAGAATTGATTATTTATTTTTTTTATCTTTGGGTCAGATCAATATAAATAAAAGACTGTAAAATAGGAACAAGGGACATCTCAGACCATGCAGTAGTATATTTAACAGTTTACCTGGACAATAAACCCAGTAAGACATTTTGGCGATTTAACCCTAATTTTTGGAATGATTTAACATGTGTAGAATATTTTAAAAAAGAACTATTAGAATATTTAAAACATAATGATAATGCAGAGGTGTCACCTAGTATCATATGGAACGCAGCTAAAGCTGTTACATGAGGTAAACTTATAATGTGGGGATCAAGGAAAAAAAACTGAATAACATAAATAATCTAAATATACAACTTAAAGAATAAGTGACTAAATATGGTAATAAGAAAGATCCAGATATTTTAATAATAGAGTTAGGGTTAAAGAAGTTAAAGCAGAACTCAATAAAATGTTTGATGAGCAAATACAAATAAAATTTACATTTTAAAATTTTATGAAATTTGTCCAAAAAGCTCCTGGCATGAAGAATAAAGAAACAACAGGCAGAGAGGAGGATATTTAAAATCAAAGATTACAAAACTAAAACGATATGTCATAAATTGGAGAAAATGCAACAGGCTTTTCAAAAATACTATAAGGAAATATATACCTCAAAAGACAATATTGAACTTGCAAACATGCAAGCAATTTTACACACATTAGATTTACCATCAATTGGATCGATACAAAATAAAACCCATAGCTCAAAAAAAAAAAAAACTATAGAAGAAATAAGCAACGCTATATCAAAACTTAAAACATCTAAAGTACCAGGCGTAGATGGCTTTTCTGCAGAATGGTATAAAATATTCAAAGAACAATTGATGTCAATGTTTTTTGAATGCTGTAATCATACCTTACATGAGTAACATGTACATAACTTACATCTGATATAACAACATATCAGATATGTTGGAGTTCAAATCCCTGCATACCTATCAGATATCTATAAAATAAAATACTTCCCTATTACAGAAACCATAAAAAAGTTTTTGAACAGATGGCTCCTTCAACCTTTAGATCTATACAATCGAATAGATAATAAGGATGAATATATTTCCAAGCCTACTTTTTCTGAATTGGAAGGTTTTCAACAACTTTCAAATATATATATATATATATAACTTGGATAAACAAGACTTTTTCCATTACCTTCAAGTTAGACACTACTTCAATAAAAGCATAAGAGATTCAGAAGACATAAAAACAACAGGAGTGCAGGTATTTATAAATGCTTACAAAAAAAAAAAAGATTAATAAAAAAACTAGTATCAAGAATTTATTCCTGTCTGACATTAACATAGAAACACTCAACGATGTGTATCAGACAGAAATGGGAAGGAGAAGCCAATATAATAATAGCAAATGAGGAATGGTTAACTATTTGGGAAACACAGATGATCACAATTAATTCATAGAGGGTATTTATTTGGAAAATGTAATCAGGTTCTTTATGACATCTAAAATAAAATACTTTTAAACTAGAGATCAAAATATGGTGAATGATGGAGAAAATGTATTGGCAGATCATTTCAAAATATTTTGGAACTGTAATATTATACACAAGGTTTAAATAGAGATAAATCTAATTATGGGATTAATGTAATTTTAAAACTATGTACCTGAGAATTTACTGAAATACCTACTAAATAATTACTGCAGAAATACCAAAAATGATGTGTATCTTCTTAACACACTACTAACAACTAGCAAAAAGGCCATTACAAAGAAATAGCTCAAGGAAGATCCTCCATCTGTAGGTGAATGGTATGATATTGTTAAAGAGGTGTATGACATGGAAGTACTGACATTTAACACAGTGTTCATTTCATCACAAAAAAAATAAATATTGAAGGAATGAAAGGCAAGGCTGTGGGTTGCAAATTTACAAATAAGGATCATCTCAGTTGTTAGATGCTTACGGTGTTTTCCCAGCAAGCTGATCTAGCACACTTAGAGCCAGAAATTGATCTGAAGATGCTCTCCTCATGTAGATTCTTTCAGCTGCCACCACATTTCTTTCCACTTCTGACAGGTTTTGTGCTGCTGCCTCAAATGCTCTTTGGGCATCACCACACGTCACACTGGGGAGACTGTATCTGAAACACAAGGCATCGTAAGAAGGCAAAAAAGTGGACGTATGAACATGTAGAGTTAAAGACAGGTGTAATGTTGCTTACTTGTCATGTAGTCTTTTAAAGTCATTGGAGGGATTATAAATCGATCTCCCACTACTTGACACAAAAAATGAATCAACTGCCACATTGTCGCTGGTGCGGTTTTCTTGCAGCATTACTGGCCGCACCTCATTGAAGTACAAGTCAAACCACTAGTTAAAGAAAGGTCAAAAATAAATCTGACTTTGATACAACATAATTATTGCTGTTATGATATAAAAGACAATATAAACTTACAAGTTCCTGTTCATGTGAGAACAGTACTTTGTGTTCCTTCACTGCAACACAGACATCATTCTCTATCCGGCTTCTCCCCTCCCAATCCTCAACCTGCAAACAGACAGTTTTGCACATTAATGAAGAATAAAAGAACAAAGAAGAGAATGTAGGGAAAAACAAACACTTACAGTCATGTGTGTCACAATTCCAGGCCGCTGGACTAGCTTCAGCATGATAACAGCCTCCAGGTAGTATAGGACAAGAAGCCGTTCATTTTTAGTCAAACAGTCCCCTGTGATGGCTCCTGGACCCTGCATTTTGCATATCACGGCCTGGAAATCTTTAAATGCAGCCACCAAAACAGCAAGGCAGTCCTTTGGCAAAATTTCTTTGCCACAACCAAACTCAGATTTTTTTTGCTGTGACCTTCATGCTCACTTTTTTGGACATGCCACTCTGTATCCCATACAGCACATCCATAAAACTCTTACAGTCCTGGAACAGAGATGGATTGTTGTGGTGAATGTCCGTGGAGGTAATAATGTATTTCATGAACCTTGAAAAGAGAGCAAAAATGGGTTTGTTACAGTCAGAACACATCACATCTGACATGATTAGTTAACATGTACATGGCAAGCTTGTGGTGGTTCCACATTACTGACCTCTTGAGACTCTTCGAGTAGTTGAACACTGTCCATTTTGAGAGCTTTGTATCTGACAAGATGTTAAAGTACTCTCGCACTTTCTCCACCTGCCGAACAAACATCAAGTTTGGCTCAGTGGGGTCCATGTAATGCAAGAACCTGGACACTGTTTCCACCTGAAAGGACTCATTTCACATTAAGATAAACTGTACTGCATAAAACAATACCCACACACAAGTTTTTACATTTATACTTTCACTTGTTTAACCAGTTAAGCTCTGGGGCTATTTGGGGTAATTCCGCCTGAATTTGGCCTTTCGATTTATAAAGCTTCCTATACCTACTTGCTGAGGTGTAAATACAAAAGTTTTGTATCATTTTAAAGGAAACCCTTTGAAATTTCATAAAATACAGTTGAAATTGAAAACAATTGTTTTATATTTTGTCTGTGTTATAATAAACATACAAAAAAGGCGCTTTTTTTTTATAAACTGAAGTTTGGAAATGTGTAACTCAGGCGTGATCCAGCACCCTAAAAATAGTCTTATTTCTTTCCAGCAGGTGTCAGCAAACACAGGAATTTTTTTTTTGTTTATAATATTGTATGTAGGAGTTATTCTATTCCAACTGCAAGGAGGAAAAATTACTTTTTTTTATTTCTGCCTACCTATTTTTGAAGTCTCCCCATGCCCTCATACAGTACAACAAATGCAATATCTCAATGTCATTTTACAAAAAACTCTTTGAAATTACAAAAAGAACTGCTGTAAGTGATGAATATTATTATTATACATGTTGTCTGTCCTATGCTGAACCACCTCAACACAAACCACTTTTGTTTTTTTGTTCTAAAGCCTGATTTAGAAAGTGTATAACTCAGGCCCTGTATGCTCCATCAAACTGCAGATTGTTTTGATTGTTACCAGCATTTGTCAGGAGACACTAAAAAAAAGAATTTTGTATTTATCATGTAGTATGCAATAATTATGTTAGTTCAACCGAAGGGTGGGAAATCACAACTTTTCTGTAATTCAAATCACCAAGTTTCTTACCTGTCAAAAGAAAAAAAAGCAAGATTTTAAAAGGCTTATTATCACAGATATCATAATTTTACTTCTTGATAAACACATCAAAATCATAACACTATATCAAAAAAAGCAAATGACACAGTAGTACTTTTTTCCTTTTATTTTTCAATTATCAAACAATCTTCACACCATAAATATAATATAAATATTGTGCAAATGTAAAGTGCAACAATCAATATTTCTAAAAAAAAAAGGTATAAAAAAGTTTTAAAAAGTAATACAATGTACAAACATTTACCTGAAATTCTAACAAAAAATGACTAGTAAAAATAAAGTGTCAATTTGTAAATAATAATATTAAACTGTGCAAACATAATCCTTCAAAAACAATAAAACACCAAAAACAAAAACAAAAAACAAAACCTTGGGGGGGGGGGGGGGGAAACTCCGTGGCAAAAAAAGAAACCTTGTTTACAGGACAAGGGAGCAAAAAAAAAAACTTTTTTAAATAAATAAATAAATTAGCTGGAGTGTCCCTCTATGTGCCAGCGCTCGAAGCAGTTCCTGGTCAACACAAAACAAAGTGCAACATTGCACTTCTTACAGTAAACTGGAGTTTTGACTTTCTTATCCTCCAGTGTACATATCACACAGTTTTCTGTTAGTTGTGGCATCTGTTCCAAGGTAGCCAGGCAGGCACGTTTGGGGTGGTGCAGCTGCTGAGGACGGCTCTATGGCAGTGGTTCCGAACCTTTTTCTTTATATATATATATATATATATATATATATATATATATATATATATATATATATATATATATATATATATATTTGGTACTTAAAAATACATATATAATAGTAGGGCTGCTTAATTTTGGGAAAAATCATATTCACGTTAAAGTCAAAATTATAAGCGCTCCTGGGAAATATTTTTTTTATAAATATTTCCCAAATTATGTTTAACAGGACAAGGAATTTTAACAGTATTTCCTATAATATTTTTTCTTCTAGGCTTATTTTTTTATTTTAGCTAGAATAAAAGCAGGTTTAAATATTTTGAAACCAATTTAAGGTCAATATTATTAGCCCCCTTAAGCAATATATATTTTTGATTGTCTGCTGAAGAAACTACTGTTATACCATGACTTGCCTTATTACCCTAATTAACCCTTTGAACTGCACTTTAATCTGAATGCTTGTATTTTGAAAAATATCTTGTTAAATATTATGTACTGTCATCATAGCAAAGATAAAAGAAATCAGTAATTAAAAACGAGATATTAAAACTATTAATAAGTTTTAAAAAAAAACTTCTCTCCATGAAACAGAAATTGGGAGGAAAAGGGTTGCTAATATTCAGGAGGGTTAATAATTCTGACTTCAAGTGTATATATACAGTTTTTTTCCACCCTGCAAAGGAAAGAGAAATAAATACAACAGAATAAAAATATTAAACAAACTGCTTTAAGCATCTTCACTGTAAGAATAACACTTTAGCTACAGCAGTCCTTTAGTCAAGACAAGTGAGGGATTTTTCTCGTTGTTTGATTAATAATCATAAAAACAGGCGGCAGCAAGAATATTTCTCGTTGTCTCTTTGGTTTCTCTTTCACGTGTCTTTTGATCCTCAACTCGTTTGTTTATTACACAAATGAGGGTTAATAAAAAATAATAACTAAACACCGCGTTGACACCTATTTGACCATTAAAGCGCTCGCGTTAAGATGACTTTAGATGTCTGCGCTCCTCTGCTCGTCTTAGTTTGCGAAAGCTGACCGGCCGTATGCTTCTGACTGAGTGTGCGTGCTGCACACACACATAAGTACGCGCTCTTCCGCGCTTTTAAGAGCAACACGTGTACAACTGGAAAGGGGGCGATATATGATGCAATAATCTTTATCTCGATTAATGCTTTTATTATAATTGTTTGAAATCGAAATCGGATTTTCAATAAATTTTACAGCCCTATATAATAGTGGAGCATTTTTATTCCTACCTCAACACTTATCCTCTCCTGCGCCCCCCTTGTTAACTCTTGTGGACCCCAGGTTGGGAACCACTGCTCTATGGTGTCTTTGATCATTTCCATGATTAGATTTTTTCTGAACTTTTTTTGTGTCAGAGGGGTTTTGTTTTGGAGATTTGAAAGCTCCCTGTGAATAATGTTTACGACAGCAATGTCAATAAAATGTAAGAAGAAGGTCTTGTACCATTTTCTGGTTTTATGGAGAATATTGTAATAACCAATCATTGCATCAGAGTAGTCAACACCACACATGTATTTGTTGTACTCCAGCACCACTGTAGGAACAGGAATCTGTTCCCTTCTCCAGTTACCTTCATCATTCTTCACCCGTCGGTTCACTGTACGTTTTGTGAACTGTTGAACACATGGTGACCTCCCTGGTGTCCATCCATTTCACAAACAGTATCTTTCCATCCCTAATCCACCAAATGTCCCCTTTTTTAGCCTTTTTGCCTAGGTAATTGATTTTAGTTTTCGGAAAGCCTTGTCTGTTTTGGCGTATGGTTCCACATGCCTGGGTGTTTTTCAAAAGTAAATTACTTAGGAGGGCTGGGCTGGTATGAAAATTGTCCGTAAATACCTGATATCCCTGTCCTAGAATTGAGAAATCTAAAGTTGTTTGACCGACTCATAGCTGAAGCCTTTTCCAGATACAGAGGTGGATTTTCCTTCATATGCAAAAAAGTTCCAGGTATATCCACAAATTGAATCAGCACGGACAAATAGTTTGTATCCCCACTTTGTCGGCTTGTCCTTCATATATTGCTTCAAACTAATCCTGGCCTTAGAGGCAATCATACGTTCATCAACAGCCATCTGCTTGAGGGGATGAAAGTTGGTTTGGCATGCTGAAACAATGTCCGTACACAGCGGTTTTATTTTGCAGAGTCTGTCGTAGTCTGGGGTTCCCTTTTTTGTTGATTAGCTTCATCGTCCTTTAGGTTAGACAGATTAAGGTTCCAAGATATGGACAGATAACCAGCCCGTGAGAGCAAATTGTGGAAAGGGAAATCTGTAAATGTCCAACCTTGCCCAGTAGTCTACTAATGTCTTTGATTTTTTTTTCAGTCCCATGTATAGTAGAATTCCAATATAAATGAAGTATTTGACGGTGAGCGGTATCCACAGGAACTTTTTGCCAGCATTAGACCTTTGTGCAGCATGTTCATTTGTGTTTCTTATTTTTGTGTCCACGACAGATGTGGAGAAAGCTCAAGTGGCGAGTAGCTTGACGTAGTGACCAGCTGAGGCCCTGGTGTACGTTTTGGGGCAAAGGCTATTACTGCTGGTTCCTCATCTGCCTCTGATATATTATGCCAACTTTCCTCACCAGAAGCAGCAGCAGCAGCCTGCTGAGATCCACTCCCCCGTGCTGATGATCCAGCTCTGCCTCTAGCTCTACTTCTGCCCCTGCGCCTTCTCTGCCCAGATGTAGTGGGGGTTGCAGTGGGGGAAGTGGTGGGAGTTGTGCTGGGCCGAGGTGTGCATGTTGAAGTTGAGGGGCTTGTTTGCCTGTCCCTCGTTCAAGGAATCCATTCATCATTATCATCTTTATTTGATGAACTACGACTGCAACACAAACAAACATAGGTGTATGCATGTGTTAGCTTATATAATATAAGCTAGTAAACATCTGGACACTCGTTTCTCGCTATTTAAGTTGTGACGAACACAAACAACAATAGCCAGTGCACGAGGCGCAGTGTGCAATAGAGGAAAAAAAAGCATCTAGCAAGCGCGATCATGAACAATACATTATGATACAAATAAATATATTGTATATAATATATTAATATGTATATAAAAACATTTGGATTGGGTAAACATTTACTTGTCCAGATCATAATCCTTTCCATCAACAAAAGCAGCTTCCCTTATCGAATCAAAACTTGAGTCGCTTTCAGAGTCTAAATCCTCTCGATCTAATTCCTCCAAAACTTCCTCTGCCCCAACAAAAAAAACTTTTTCTGAGGTTCGTTTCCTTTTTTAGAAGCCATTTGTAACAAGTCTGCATGCTGAGGTATTGTGCGTCTGACCTGTGACTTTTACGCACTCTTGTTTTGGACACCTCTCTTCCCGTTGGTCATGCAATATCTCAGTCACTGATTGGCTGATCAAGGCTTGCGATACATCAGTGTAAAGCCGAGAATCTCATCTTCAATTATATGTAGCACATCTGGATAGGTTGAAGCTATCATATTTTCCCAAATTTTGGAATATCTTGACCCTAATTTGTTGCGTTTGGCACTTACAAGACACAGCAGGGGTTTACTGATGCACACTTCCTCAGAAATGCTGAAAATAGACTCATTTTGCAGAGGACAACCTAAGGTAAAAGATGATGTAACTTGTTTACCTATCTGTGCTATCTCCGGCAGCTCACAGAGCAAATAAGCAATAATTTCTCTTGTATGTTTACAAAAAACGAGTTTATACTTGATGATTCATTCGAAGACTGTTGGATATGTGATTGTAAATCAATAAAAATAGCAATGGATTATTATTATTGGGAATGAGAGCTTTAATTTGATGTATTACTTGCCAATCTGTGTCTTATATTAGCGATGTGAAAAATATGCATACTGAACAATGTACAAAATAGGGGGGCTTGAGATAGTGTAAATTAAGTGTAAATAATTTTGGTACAGTACAACAAATATCAAAGTGATGTGTATCAGTTGAAAATAGACATTCTTAGCTTTCACCCAGTAGGTCATATGGTGTTATTGATGCAGGCAGACCTCTTAAATCTATAGTTATTCTCCTGATGACGTCATTTTGTCCCTGGTACTGGGCACGCAGAGTTTAATGCCGAGTTCAGACTGCATGATTTTCAAAGTAGTCATGTCACAGATGTTTTCACACTGCATGACTATCTGGGCTTGCGCTTCGTCGCTGCTTTGTTTACACTGCAAGATGGATCGGTGACAGGGACTTTCACATTGCATGACTTTACTATAGGAAGAATCGCCGACAACTTTGTCCAAACTACGTCTCACAGCCAAAAACACTTAGTATATATTTTGTTATTAACTACATAATGAGAAAGAAGCCTTTAATGGGGAAGAACATGTACATTTTTGCTCACCTGGGTTTTAAAGGGAATTAGCCATTTCTCCTCAACGTTGATAATAAACTAATTTCTTTCTGTATTAAACGTCAAACAGACACAGTTGCTCCTGAGTACTGTCAAACCTCCACTAGTTTTTCCTCCATTTCGTGGGTCCAAATAAACCGAAAAAGAGCGCTTTTAACTTCTCTCCCAGCCTCCCGGTGGCCTGCAGCAGGTATACACACACACACGCACGCACAAGTGAATGCTGCTCTCTCATTGGCTGTAGGCGATCACTGATGCTATTTTCAGTCAAAACTTGCCGACAGCTCCAGATATTTAGCATGCCAAATATCTCACAGGCATCGGCGACTCATCGGCGATTCTCTCAGATCGCGTCTTTGAAAGTTCATACTGTGTGATTGTCACTCACGTGCAAGAGCAGCGATTTGCCTGTGATTTCAGGCATTTGTCGGCGATTTCTCAAAACCTGTCGGCGAGCCAAAATCGGGGCTAAAATCACGCAGTCTGAACTAGGCATAAGTGGTTAATGAACTTACTACTTGTTTGCTGTTTTTATATCCTAGATCAGTGTAAAGGTATTTATTAAATCCTGTTAGAAGGGAGTGGTCAATGGAGTGCTTATTGTATAAGCCTTTTTTGACCACTTCCACCCTCACGGAAGAGGTAAACATCGGTCCACCAGTGCTGAAATAGAAAAGCAGGTGAGCAAAATGACTTTGTATATTAAAGAGAAATCATTTCCACAGTGTACATTTAATTTCTGGGAATGCCGATTTGAAACTGTACCTCTGGTAGTACTCTCCAGAGCTCTTGTCAGATAAGGGCTCATTTGGAGGCTACAATGGACTTTCTGCACCTCCAGAGCTTTGAGGCACAGAAGATGTAGTAGATCGAGCTGATTCTGGGAGGACTGAAGGTAAGTTATTAATCACCAACCCCCTTGACTGCATCTCCGCAATCATCCTAAAACAAGGATCATAAATAAGGTCAAAACAACAAGCAATAATTTATATTTATATCTAAATATGTGCAGATGTTTAATTTGAAGCCAGATTTATCAAATCAGAGAAGCATAACAGAGTTACAAACTTGGCAAGAGGATTAGTAGAGTCTAATAGGTCACAATTTTTTCCAAACTCCCAGAAACGTCCTCTGTGACAGAATTCGGACAACTACTTCTTGGCCTCTATGACGACAGCCTTGATCTCTGTCTCTGTCCCAGCCAGCAATGACATGTGGGGCCCAAATGAGGGCTTCATGGGCATCAAATGTGGGCCCCATTATGGGCTTGCACACGGGAACCACATTGGGGCCAGCCGGGGGAAGCCCAGACGTACTAAAAGTGGGAACTGTAATGGTACTAACTGGGCTATTCATGCCAAACCCATTTGGGCCCCACCTGCCCAAAGGGGTTTTAAGTGGGTTTCCACCCGGGATCTACATGGTGGCCAGCCGTGGATGCCTAGATGGGTTTTAAGTGGGATCTTTGAGAATCTTATGAGTGTCTTAACCGGGCAATTCATGAAAGACCCAGTTGGACCCCACCTAAAAAGGTTTTAAATGGGCTTGCACTTGGGATTCACATGGGGGCCAGCCATGATGCCCGATGGGTTTTAGGTGGGATCTGTAAGGGTCTTATCTGTGTAATTCATGTCAGACCCATTTGGGCCCCACCTGCCTAAAGGGGTTTAAAGTGGGCTTGCACCAGGATTCAACCATGGATGCCCAAATGGGCTTGAAGTGGGCTCTGTAAACAACTTATGTTTATCCTAACTGGGCAATTTATGAAAGGCCTATTTAAGCTCAACCATGCCAAATGGTTTAGGGAAACAATCTAAGAAAAAAAAATTAAAAGGAAGATAAACACAAGACACTTGATGTGTTGGACTCCAAGAAATATATTAAATTAAACAACAAAACTTATTTTTATAAAGCAATGTCACAACTTACACGTAAACTAAAAAATATATTTAAAAAAAACTCCAAAAAAATACAACACAAAACACACTCATAATACAGTAAACAACAAACATGGCACAAAAAGTTTGTACACTCATGCACGAGTCCACAGATTTATATCTGAAACCAGGAATGTGACACTGACAACAGAGATGCGGATCCACATGCAGGTTTATTAAAATGGTCAGGCAAGCAGTGGTCAATACAATGGCTAACAGATGTATAAGGGCAATCCAGAATTGTAGTCAAAAGACAGGCAAATGGTCACAAGGCTTGCAGAAAACACGATTTAACAAATAAACAAGGCGAGGATCAAAAACACAGAAAAACAAGACAAAGGAAACCACGTTATAATGTCATTAAACAGATAACAAGACTCAGAAATGAGTGTCTCAAAGTGAGCTGTATATATGTGTGTGTAATCAGTACTTGAGCAGCATCAGCTGTGTGTATGAAATCACTCAGGATCTGGAACCAGATGTGTGTGTAAAGTATGACTGGTTCTTGTAGTCCATTTACCAGCAGATTTGTAGTCCTATGTGATCTTCAGCTACTAGATTGCTGGTGATCATGACAATAGTACACACACACACACACACGCAAAAGAAAAGCTAAATAACAGTAGCCATCAATGTACATGGTTTACAGTCACAGAAATAATGCTCTTTATTATTTTACTTTTTAATGCTTTTTCTGCACTTTAATGCTTGTAATGTTTTATGTAAAGCACTTTGAATTGTTTTGTATCATGAATTGTGCTATACAAATAAACGTGCCTTGCCTTTACATGTTTACCAGGGGACGCAGTGATAGTGTCACCATGCTGAAAATGAGGGGTGAAGCGTGTTCAGTTATGTGTGATAGTGCAAGCGTAACAGTATGTTGCACACAGAACAGGCGGAGATTTCTGGTGGCACCATAATATTGTTTTTATTGTTGTCACGCTGCACAATCTGTAATATGAACAAACACAGACATTGAGAAGATACTGTGAACAATGTTTCAGTGCTGGCAGTGTGACTTCTTCATGAATGCGTGAAACCTCCTGCGGCTCACGTATTGCTCACTAATCGTCCCCTAGCGTCACTCGCCAGGACATACAGATTGAAATGATGGCCATCAACACATTATAACTAACCTGAACTTTATTAGAACACTAATAATGAATGATGATTAATCAATGCATAACAGCTATAAAAAATTTAAATGAAACACGGGACTGTCATAACTCTATACTTCTGTACGTATCCCAGGAAGGCCAGGAAACCCAGTACCCTGGCCAGCAGCAGCAACCCCACGGCACATGTTCCCTACCACCACACCACAGAGATGGACATGCTTCCACCCAGGTGGTGGAAGAAAAAAGCCCCCCGCAAGAGCCCCTCACAGCTGCATGGGCAGGCCCCATCGGGCCGAAAATGGCAACCGCTGACAACACCATGCAGCCAGCCGCCTGGGACAGGCAGGGTGTGGAGCCAAGGGCCTTACGGGCCCAAGAGCAGCCCTTCCCCCAGTGCTTTTCCAGTTCAAACCCAATGCCACTTTGCTCATAAATATGCCATGTACGACCCATATTTGTGTTCTCAGTTCAAACCCATGCCCACTTGGCCCATAAATATGCCATGCAGGACCCATATATGCATTCCCAGTTCAAACCCATGCCCAGTTGGCCCATAAATATGCCATGCAGGACCCATATATGCATTCCCAGTTCAAACCCATGCCCAGTTGGCCCATACATATGTCATGCAAGACCCATATGTGCGTTCCCAGTTCAAACCCATGCCCAGTTGGCCCATAAATATGCCATGTAGGACCCATATTTGTGTTCCCAGTTCAAACCCATGCCCACTTGGCCCATAAATATTCCATGCAGGGCCCATATATGCATTCCCAGTTCAAACCCATGCTCAGTTGGCCCATAATTAGGCCACGCAGCACCCATAAATGTGTTCCCAGATCAAACCTATGCCCACTTGGCTCATAAATATGCCATGCAGGACCCATATATCCATTCCCAGTTCAAACCCATGCCCACTTGGCCCATAAATATGCCATGCAGGACGTATATATGCATTCCCAGTTCAAACCCATGCCCACTTGGCCCATAAATATGTCAATCAGGACCCATATGTGGGTCCCCAGTTCAAACCCATGCTCAGTTGGCCCATAAATATGCCATGTAGGACCCATATTTGTGTTCCCAGATCAAACCCATGCCGACTTGGCCCATAAATATTCCATGTAGGACCCATATATGTGTTCCCAGATCAAACCCATGCCCAATTGGCCCATGCCTGTCCCTTATGGCGCCCATGTTATAAGCTCATATGGGCTTCCTATGTGGGACTCATTCTAGAAAACGTACATGGGACCTTCTGATTTCACCCAGCCAAAGCCCATGCCCACACAGTTCCCATGGAACCCGTAGTTAGTCCATCTGGGCCCGACATATCGTTGCTGGCTGGGCAACTTCCATTAAATGGCCACAACGCAGAGTACTAACCACTATACTATCACGGCGAGCTACGGGAAAGCCGCTGGACGTTCATTCTCTGACATATGTCTTTAAAAATGGAAAGCCCCCAGGGCAGCTAGCAGGCAAATGCTACCGTTTTGCTTTTCCCTTCCAGCACATCACCTTTTCCCAAGAAACAATAGAATTGCAAACAATCATGGAAGGTCGCAAACTAAGTCCTGCGCACTGCCTGCCTGTGCATCCAGATGAAACTTTCAGCAAGCGATAGCTCAACGGCAAAAGCTGTGGCTCCACGAAAAGTCCTATACGCCCAATCAGGGACTTGAACCCTGGACCCTCAGATTAAAAGTCTAATGCTCTACCGACTGAGTTATCCGGGCTCCAAGGCAAAACTTTACAAGTAGGTAATGTTAATAGTTGTGTTCGGCGCAGACCTTTACGGTACACAAAAGTTTACCGTGAGGTGGGGTTTAGGCTTATGGTTGGTGTAGATGTTGCTAAAACACAACAGATTACTGTGAGGTTGGGTTTATGGTTGTTGTAGGTGAAGACATCAGTACAACACAATAGATAGGACTCCATGTCATGTAGGAGACATTAAATGGATCAAAAGCAACTGCAGAAGGTCTCTCTGTTGTTGTGGCAATGAATGGAGACTTAACAATTGAAAAGATTCCTTCCATGCCTTAGAAGCATGACTTGATCAGTGCTTATCTACACAGCATGCTGGCATCAAAGGTCCCATTGCTCATATCGAATCCCTAGTCTTCCACACTTTAGGAAACATTCAGGACGTTCCAGTAGCACAGCCTGCACTAAAAGGAGGCTGGAGATTAAGGATGGCGACACAGAGTGCAACGCCATTGTCACCTTGAAAAACCTGCCGTGACTCGGATTCGGACCGGGGTTGCTGCGGCCACAACACAGAGTACTAACCACTATACGATCACGGCGAGCTATGGGAAAGCCGCTGCTCATTCATTCTCTGTCATATGTCTTTAAAAATGGAAAGCCCACAGGGCAGCTAGCTGGCATCTGCTGCCGTTTTGCTTTTCCCTTCTAGCACATCCCTTTTCCCAAGAAACAATGGAATTGCAAACAATCATGGAAGGTCGCAAGCTAAGGTCTGCGCACTGCCTGGACGTAGTCGGCAGGATTCGAACCTGCGCAGGGAGACCCCAATGGATTTCAAGTCCATCGCCTTAACCACTCGGCCACGACTACAAGACTGCCATGTCCTCATGCCCAGTACACATGTTGTGCATCTAGATGAAAATTTCAGCAAGCGATAGCTCAACGGCAAAAGCTGTGGCTCCACGAAAAGTCCTATACGCCCAATCAGGGACTTGAACCCTGGACCCTGATTAAAGGTCTGATGCTCTACCGACTGAGTTATTCGGGCTCCAATGCAAGGCTTTCCAAATAGGTAATGTTAATGGTTGTGTTCGGCGTAGACCTTTACGGTACACAAAAGTTTACCGTGAGGTGGGGTTTAGGCTTATGGTTGGTGTAGATTTTGCTAAAACACAACAGATTACTGTGAGGTTGGGTTTATGGTTGTTGTAGGTGTAGACATCAGTACAACACAATAGATAGGACTCCATGTCATGTAGGAGACATTAAATGGATCAAAAGCAACTGCAGAAGGTCTCTCTGTTGTTGTGGCAATGAATGGAGACTTAGCAATTGAAAAGATTCCTTCCATGCCTTAGACGCGTGACTTGATCAATGCTTATCCATACAGCACGCTGGCATCAAAGGTCGCGTTGCTCATATCGAATCCCTTGTCTTCCACACTTTAGGAAACATTCAGGACGTTCCAGTAGCACAGCCTATACCAAAAGGAGGCTGGAGATTATGGATGGCGACACAGAGTGCAACGCCAATGTCACCTTGAAAAACCTGCCGTGACCCGGATTCGAACCGGGGTTGCTGCGGCCACAACGCAGAGTACTAACCACTATACGATCACGGCGAGCTACGGGATAGCCGCTGCACATTCATTCTCTGTCATATGTCTTTAAAAATGGAAGGCCCCCAGGGCAGCTAGCTGGCGTCTGCTGCCGTTTTGCTTTTCCCTTCTAGCACATCCCTTTTCCCAAGAAACAATGGAATTGCAAACAATCATGGAAGGTCGCAAGCTAAGGTCTGCGCACTGCCTGGACGTAGTCGGCAGGATTCGAACCTGCGCAGGGAGACCCCAATGGATTTCAAATCCATCGCCTTAACCACTCGGCCACGACTACAAGACTGCCTGTACAGCCATGTCCTCATGCCCAGTACACATGTTGTGCATCTAGATGAAAATTTCAGCAAGCGATAGCTCAACGGCAAAAGCTGTGGCTCCACGAAAAGTCCTATACGCCCAATCAGGGACTTGAACCCTGGACCCTGATTAAAGGTCTGATGCTCTACCGACTGAGTTATTCGGGCTCCAATGCAAGGCTTTCCAAATAGGTAATGTTAATGGTTGTGTTCGGCGTAGACCTTTACGGTACACAAAAGTTTA